ATATATATATATATAGTTTTATTTATTCATAATTTATTTCGTAGATTTTTTCCTTTTCTTATTTTCTTTTCTTTAAGCAGGACCCACATTAATATAATTATATATATTATTGAACTGTTTATCATATTAGCATGCAGTGCGTTTAGATGAATACAATGCAATAGTAGCTACCCTTAAAGGAGCACAGCCAAAAACCGCGTGCTCGTTAAAGAATTTTGTCAAGATTTTTCATGCAGGAAGAGTAAATCATACTATAGTCCATGCTTAACTAAATGTCCTTCTTTGATCATTGCTTTGACCAAGATGCCTTTTTTTGATTATGGTATACGATTGATTCTTGTGCTTGTAAATATTTTAGTATTTGAAGTGAGGTGATTGCATTTAATTCATAGAGGAATGTCTCTGCGTTGTCTCTTGTATAAAATCAATAGTAGATTCTTTGGAGTGGGAGAGTTTCATACTGCAAACACATCTTGAATAATGTAGGTCATCCACTAAAATATAGAAAAAAAAAGTTTTTATATATAAGAGTAAAGAACGTTTTACATGTGGAGTCCCTAGCTCATAAAATAAATCCCAGCTTTGTGATCGTTTTTACCCTCCTTCTCTCATATAAAATCACCAATGTTTTACTTTACAGTTGGTATTAAATTTGTTCTTAAAGATTGAATGGATCACCGAATCGTGAAACATGAAAATGGATTTCATCATAACGTACGTACTAGACTGCATGGTTCAGTCGGGATTTCAGAAAAGGGATGGACCCGAAGCATACTGAAGAATGCCCACACTGAATTCTTTGTAAAAAAACATCAACCAAACCAAGAAATAGGTAAATGGTCAGGCCAACATCCCAAATAATTGGCAGAAGGATAGTTATGAAATTCGATCATATATTAGACCTACAAAAAGCATTGAATTATATTCTTACTTTATTTCAGTTTCATTTCGGTCCTGAAGATTGTTTGACCAAAGGTATCCCAAGCTTTACCATTAAGGCCCGAGATACTGCACCATCCCCACCACCAACCATATTTTCCACCCTGAGCACAATTACATGAACATGCATCGTTATCCTTATCAAATGTGCTAAACCTCCTGTTGTTGGCGATCCAATATGAATTTGAAGAATTCGCAAGGGCATCTCCAGCAGTGCCTGAGTATCCGCTCGTTCCCAGGCGATAAAAATCACTCTCGTCGGAGATAGAGAACGATGAATACACAGCATATCCCTTGTTCCCTGTTGGAGCCTCCAGATCAATGCGCAGTTTTGTAACTTGTCTCTTGGTCAGTCGGTAGACTTTCTCAAGGCCCAACCAAAACTCACCATTCAGGTTACCAAAACCGGTTTTATGGTCTTGCCACCCACGGGTAAAGTTCACCAATTCGTAGTCGCGTCTTTGAAACACAGTCCACCCTCCACCATCTGTTGTCATGTCGCAGTAGACTGGGAAGGAGCCTTTTCCATCAGGATCGATTTGATAGACTCCATCTGCAGTGTAACCAGCTGAACGCAGCTCTGAGCAATCACTGTAAACTAAATCACGTAATATAATTAGTGAATAACATGTTTTTTACAGTCATGTATATATATATAATGCATTGGCCAGTTCAACACAAACGCAGGGATCAGCAACATACGCACGACAAACAAGTTGCAGCCTTTATTTATAAGTAAGGCGGGATACGGAGTACGTTTGCAGATTTGTCTGGATCCTTTTCACCAATCCGCTTGCAATTCAAACAATATTTTTATACTCACAAATTTTGCAGTCTTTTCCTTTTGTTGCATTACATACGCAATGATATTCGTCATTTTCGTAGTCAGGGCAACACAATCCATTGTTCTGACATGGATCCGGCTCACACTTGTTCTATAAAGAAAAATGGGATGCTTAGAATTACTTCATACGTCTTTGATCAATGGAATTTGGAGCAATTTAATTGACTGACAAGATAAGTGAATCATTGTGCTGGGATGCAGTATTGATCAGCTGTACCCACCCTGATGCTAAGATGTGTGAATCCTTGTGCTGGGATCCAATATTGAGTCGTACCTACCCTGATGTTAAGATGAGTGAATCCTTGTGCTGAGATCCAATTTTGAGTCGTACTTACCTTAATGTTAAGATGAGCGAATCCTTGTGCTGGGATCCAATATTGA